TTATTATTATTATTATTATTATTATTATTATTATTATTATTATTATTATTATTATTATTATTATTATTATTAAACACGCTCTGATGCTAAGGAGTTCGACTCTCCCTCCCCACCTGGAAATAAATCTCTTCCAAAGGCAAAACACAAGCAGAGGAGATGAGTTCCAGTTTCAGTTTCACAGCAGCAAGCAGCTTTAGTGCAGAACAGTTGAGCTAAGCCACACCCAGGCTCCTTGCTGTCCCCTTCTTGCTCACACAGCAAAAACTGTTTGAGTTTCCAAACAGCCCTCACCTCTCTCACACACACACTGACTGGATGCTAACCAGATGAACATCGATGGATGCTGGTAGGCAGAGGCACAAATTTTCCCTCCCTTATTTTCCTCCCCAAAAACTAAGCCCTACTTTCGTAGCGAAGCACGGGCGTCGAGCTAGGTATTATTAAAATTGGATAAAAGCAGTTTAAAATGGAATTGGATAAAACAAAATTTAAAATTTGTCCTCATCTCAGGTCTTCTTCTTAAAAAAGATTCTGTCCTCACATTTGTTAAGATTCTTTTATCTGAAGTTCAAAAATATTAGATTCAAAACTTCAATTCTTTCATTGCAAAGTTTCTTTGTGGTTGGACGATATAAGTTCCTGGCCTGAAGATGACGATGTTAGAAGACAAGGATTAGATCCTAGAAGGAAAAAAGGTTGAGTTACCTATTCCTGATTCCACCATAAACTAGCCGTGATTTGCTATGAAAGTATGTGGTGCGGCTTAGTTTAAAGGGAAATAAGGGGGAAAAATTCTGCCTCTGCCTACCAGCATTCATCAGTATTCATCTGGCTAGTGTCCTGACAGTGTGGGAGAGTTGAGGGCTGTTTGGAAGCTGAAAGAGATTTTGCTGTGTGAGCAAGAAGGGGACAGCAAGGAGCCTGGGCGTGGCTTAGCTCAACTGTTCTGTACTAAAGCTGCTTGGGGCTTGCTGTGAAACTGAAACTCCTCTGCTTGTGTTTTGCACTGGGAAGAGATTTCTTTCCAGGTGGGGAGGGAGAGTAGAACTCCTTAGCATCAGAGCGTGTTAATAATAATAATAATATAGGAAATACTCTAAATGCTCTGATGGTCATTTGGAAAAATAATCCTTTCTTAGTGAGCACCTACAGGAACAAAAGGAAAGCCAAGAGGAACATACATGCCAAATTTCAAGTTTTTAGACTTTACAGTTCCGGAGATTTTGTGATGATGCTTGAATGGCATTTTGCTTTTATATTTTATAGATTTATTTAATCTATTGACATTTATATGCCACCCATGTCATTTATCCAAAAGGACTTTTTTTTCATCAGGCATCAAGCAGAAAAGCACCCTGCAAAATTCCTTTACAGCTTTGCCCTGAGAATTTGTAGAGATGCCCCCCAAAATCCGAAAGGTTGGTGGATCTCTCTCTAAAACGGATCCTTCATTTGGGGAAGGAAATTCATTCAAGGATGCATCTCAGAAAACGCAACCGGGATTGTTTAAAGAAAAATCTAAATTTAAATGTTGCTGATGGGATATCCTGAAAAGTATTATTCTCTCTCTTTCGGATCTGGAAAAACAAAGAATTGTATTTTTGATTATTATTAGGAGGAATTTTCATTGTTAGGAAAAATGTTGATGTTTAGAGTTGGAATAGCTTTGATGCCATAGTTTAGTTCCTAGTGGAGGAAAAATGGTTTTGGATTAATAGGAAAATATCTACTTATTTAGGTGGTTGGACGGTGCTCCTTAAATATTAATTCTATATCAAATATTAATGTCTCCCTAAATATAACCATTATCAAATATTTAGCCCTTTCTCTTGATCCGCCCATGCATGGACCCAAATACACACACATGCGCAGAGAACAAAAAAAGGGGGGGATTTCTATGGGGGGGGGGGCATTCCCTATAATGGAGCCCTGAACCAATCAATGGCTGGCTTGGCCGGGGAGGATGGGTCTTGTGATCCAGCCCCATGGGAGGTTTGGGGTGGTTTTTGTTTTTTTTTAATCCAGCCCAATGGATAAACCAGCTACCAGGCCAGGGAGAGA